AAAATTCAGAAATAAAAAGTCAACATTATGACATATTACATTTAAATTACAACAAAAAAAGGTAAAATTATGAGATTAAAAAAATCATAATTATGGCATTAAGTCAATTTTACAACTTAAAAAGATATATTTATGAAACAGTATGACATGTCACAATGAGATAAAAAGTCAATTTTTTTATTTATTTTTTTTACTGTTTATCTCATAATTATTTAATTATTTACCAGTTATGATTTACCAGTTTTTCCTAACGTTGCAGAAAAAAAATCCTGAATACTGACAGCAAGAGAAAATATACAGTATCGTGATATTATGGAAGCAAGTTTCCAGGTAATTGTGACTTTATATTTCACAACCGAGACTTTTTTTTATCACTCAGTGTGATTATTTCTTATTTCTTATTTTATTTTACAATGACCTTTTATTGCATACAACGTAAAATATTAATCTACCAATTAAACAACAGAAAACATTACACTACTGAATCTCACTAATATGGGGAAACCTTCTTTATTAGTTATTGTAATCATCTTTTTTCCCCACTGTTTTCACTTGCGCCCTTCTCTCTCCCCCATTTCAATCTCTCGCCTCTCACATTCTCATCTCCGGAGCACCTATCGAGGCAGCTGTTATGGTCGCTGGCTCAGAGCAAAATGATTAAAGCGCTTCCAGAAGCTGGAACAGGAAAGAGAAGGGGGGCAGCGAGAGATGAGGGGGAGTAGTGTTGCTTTCGTCAACGAAAATTATGACTAAATATCGTCGTCAACTAACCTTTATTACGTGACGAAAACGAGATGAGACGAGACGAAAATGCTGGTCATGTGACGATAACTATAATTAAATGTATAATGCAATATCGTTGACGAATAAAAACCAGACTAAATGTGGTTTACAAAATAAAAACTATGCTAAAATGTCTCTTCATTTTCGTTGACCAAAACGAGATGAAACGAAAGACTAAAATGCTCAGACTTTTAGTTGACTAAAACTTGACTAGACTAAAAAGAGTATGAACGTGACTAAAACTAATAAAAACTAAAATGACAGTTTCACACAAAGACTAGACTAAAACTAAAATTAAAACAGGCCGCCAAAAACAACACTAAGGGGGAGAGGTCACAGGGGTCACCGGTGGAAATCCGTTGAGGTGGTCCCAGCAAACTCCTGCTGTGTGAGTAGAGCCCCAGACTGAACACACGCCCCTATTGGCAGGAATTCAGCTTCTCGGGCCCCAGATCGAGAGGGAGAGAGAGATAGAAAAAGAGATGAGAGGAGGGGAGAGGGCTCGGGGAATGCAGGGAATGAGGTAGAGATGTCCACTCTCTCTCTCACTCTGTATCTAACTCGCACAGCCGTCCAGGTGAGGGACAGGAACGGCTCCAAGCCGCAATGTAAACGAAGCTTTTGCAAGTGCATACTTCAAGACCCCAACTCCTGCCCAGGGTTTCAATAATTGCTAATAAAATGCTTGCAGCTCATTACAAAAATCTAGTCACCATCCAACTACGTCTAATTGGAGGAGTCCTGCCAAACGAAATCAAAACTATGAAAAGTAACTTTTCCGAACATGCTGTACAAACAAGAAGTTTGTTTTAACCCACAAGACCTTCTTCTTATTTATGCTGGCAAACTCTAAAATTGACAGAAAGGCGCATCAACTCGAGTCAACATGACTTGGCATTCACAACCCTTTTTACTTCTGTAATGTCAAGTATTTCCAAGTGAAACAAAACATTCAACAAGTTAAAATGTATGAAAAACTTGATTTTATCTATCATACAACATAAAAAGTCGAAATTATAATAAAAATCGGAATTGTGGAAATGAAAAGTGGACATTATGACAAGTCACAATGAGATAAAAAGTTTTATTTTATTCCGACTGTCTGACTTTTTATATCATAATTAAGATTTTAAATTTTTTTGGTGGTGGAAATGGACTTCTATAAAATCTTATCGTGATAATTTTTTTGGCCATATCGCCCAGCCCTACCTGTGAAGACTAAAAAATATTTTGTGTCAGCACAGATAGAAATGCAAAAATTGTACCTTTAGGAGTGTAACAGGGCCAACTTTGTACCTTATCTACCACTAAAAGGTGCATTTTAGTACCTTAGATAAGTAATAGCCTATGTACCCTTAAGGTACTACTATCAATCTTTTAGTGGTAAATCAGGTACAAAAAGGTGTCCCTTTAAGTTTTTGTACCCCTAAAGGTGCAATTTTTGTGAAGAATGAAGAATCAGATCACATTTAGTTGAGTCTTTTTCAAATCTATCAGTATTTATATAACTATCACAGTAATTACTTTGCTTATGACTGTAACCTGAGAAGTCTAAACAGATATTTGACCTTTGCTTTACATAATATTACATTAACATTAGTCTAGGTGAATCATATGGAAATAAAAGTCTAGGCAGAGCAAGTTATTCAATTCTGATTAAATATTTTGAATAATGTGTCTTGACGAATCATCCACAATAACACCAAGAACAAGTATTAATAAAGTAAATAGGGTCAGTTTTAATTTAAATGTAACAGGACATGTAGACGCCCGTATGACTCAAAGCAAAGTCTCATTGCGGTGTTCTTCAAATATTGGGATTTGTTTACAAGTTTAAATAAAGCTGACAGCATCTTGCTATTTCAGCCTCATTTAGTGTGGAATAGGACATGCGAGGAATAAAAACAGGCTGAAAGGCCAAACCACTGACTCAGAGAAGGACAGGACCTCAGCTGACAGCCGAGTTCAATATTTTGCCCGGGAGGCTCGCGAAGGCTATAAAAAGGTTTTGATGTTTGACACCAAATTCCCATCACAATACCCTCCTCCCGCCTCACACATGGACACATTAAGAAAGGGAAGAGGGGGGGGGGAAGAGAGAGAAAAAATCTTTTCACACTTTGGCAGCACAATACCCTCCTCCCGCCTCACACATGGACACATTAAGAAAGGGAAGAAGGAGGAAAAAAGAAAAAATATTTTCACACTTTGGCAACGGCTGAGGGTTTTCCAAGCCTCCCCACCAAATCGAGACTGTTGGATGACTCCCAATCGCAGCCCTTGTTCCCCTTGAAACACCGAGCGCCTCCCCTCTTCCTTGCTAGACTCTCCCTCCCATTTCCCTGGGCTCTGATTCCACTCCTCACCACCTGACAACACTGTCTGTCCTCCAGCCAAAAGCATCAGATCCTTGTGTGAGACGAGAGAGAACTTCCTCCCCACCGTCTCCTGTCCTCCTGTCCTCCGCTTCACTTATTCATTCACTCATTTCCTCGTCTCTTCCTAGAGGTGGGAGTCGTTAGGTTTACAGCGTCCCAATTGTTTTTTTCCCTCCAATTTGGCAAGCTGAAGAGCAACCTGCTCAGATGTTTGCGAGGCCGTCATGATCCAACAAACATTGGTGGAGTGAACCACCTGGGAAGGGAAGAGCGAGTATGAATCACGACCCTCATAGGTCGTCAACCCCATATCAAAGGAATTCTTGGCGTAAGATGAGGTGGACATCATAGCGTCAAACTCTTGGCCAGATCTTTTGAGTGCATGTGACATCCCTCACGGTTTGAAGACACCACGGGAAGTAAATCTTGTCTTCGCCGGCATTCCCACTTCTTGCCTTGGTAACAAACAAGCAGGGCTGTTGGCTAACTAACACTTGGAGGGCCGTGCAGGTCTAGAGAGAGCATAAGAACTTCTCCCTTCTCCGCCATGGTCTCGCTTGCAGAGGAACCAAACGTGTAAACACGCTGGACACCGCCCAGCTGGCAGTATGAAAAGGAACTGAATAATGTTAGCCGTTTGAGGGCAGAGATAGTCCGTTCCAACACGCCCCCACCTCCGCAACACAGTGCGGCTTGTCCGCTTGGCACAGCGGACCCGGTCCGTCTCCGCACCTGTGCAGGAGGAGCACCCGGAAAAGGAAGAGGGGGGCAATAAATCAGTCTTTTGGCTGCTGAAGCAAATCTAGCAGATAACATTACGCCTGGTGCAGGGGATCCGCAGAATTCTCCCTATAGCAGGACTTCCTGTTGGCCTGATATATAAATAACAAAAGGACTAGAGCGGAGACGAGTAATGAAATGTTATAATGCAATTCTGCACCCAGTGAATGGAGTTATTTATACTCAAAGATGTCCTTTCACAAAAAAAAAAACATCTGACATATGGTCATAATTTTAAAGCATAAGTAGTCTAAGTGATATATATATATATATATATGGAAAATTATTAATATCAATACTAATATCATTTAATGTGTTTTTTTATTTGGCCATCGTTTTCTAAATACTGCATCATTATAGCTTCATAAAAATTATATATACTATATATATATTTAAAGGTGTCACAGCAACATGAGGAGATGTGAGGATTTTTTATTGTAAACTTTTTCAGGAATATGTATCCAATGATTTTGTATAATTTCTAACATATATCAATCAGTGTTATTTTTAATACCCCTGAGATACAATTATTGTTTTTTTTTTTTCATTTTCATTTGTGTGGTGTATGCATTTTGTAGTAGTTTTATGTATGTCTTTTTAGTTTTTTATTATCAATATTAAATAATATTATAGCGCTTCCATTGAAAAACATGTCTTTATTGTTTTTAACTAAAAGTTTTTTTAATTACTTGACACTTTACTCAATCTTTGGTTGAAATGATGGTTCATCTCATAAAAAAAAGGCAAATATATAATCAAAATGCTGAAAAATCAACATTTGTTCAACTATATTGCCCAGCTTTGACCTTAAACTAAAAAAAATATATAAACAATTTTTATATTCCTTGTGGACGCAATCTAGCAACTGATGAGCTCAACATGGCAGATGGCTGAAAACAACAAATCCTTTTGTATAAATATTCCTGCTAGCAAATTAAACAACTCAAGGTCTTTATTATATTATCATTCTAGAGAAGCACAGTTTTTTGCAGCAAACTAGTATCCTCACATAGCAGCTGTGCCACCTGCAAAATATTATTTTAAGAATCCCAAACATTTCTACATCCTCTGACTGCTGGATTTCCCATCTGAAAGCGTGATGCTCAATGCATCCATCTCAACAGGGGTCATTCTGAACCTGACGAATGCCTTAGACGGATGAAGCAGTCCTGATGAGCCTTTGGTGGCTGTCCTAAATGTCTCCAGAGGAATGAACATGATTAAAGCATTTTTTTTCTCTTCTCGTAGTCAGAGCCACCTTCCACTATTAACCATTTAGGGGGGTGGAGATACTTAGTTGGGGGAGGGGACCAAAGGAAAACATTCCAGCGGCCCCTTGTAGCCAAAAAGGATATGCTATAATTAGTTCCAGGAGGGCGAGCAGTAGCTGAATGAAGAAAACTGACTTGTTTATCCAGAAGAGGAATGGCAAAGTTCTTGTCAAGTCCACCCTGTAGATGTGGAGACCGCCGTGCAGCCCCACAGCCATGTCAATTCATCTGTGACATGCTAAACAGATCATAACCCACACACAATGACCCATACAAGAGGACGGAGGGCTGCAGATGCACACGTTTCCTATTGCCCATTCATAAAAAAGGAGACAGGAAGACAAAAAATGTTGGTTTTCTGCCTCAAACTGCATTGGCTGAACTCAAAAAAGCCTTGGCACACATCTGGAGATGCAGGGCTCGTTCTTTTCTCGGACACCCTAACGTTCCTATCGGAGCGCTATCTCTCTCTGCTCTCCATCTCTGACTCATTATCATTCATACACTTGGCCGCAAGTTCATCTCGGACTTATTCACAGGATGTCATACCACTATGCCCACTCTACATTCAGGATGTTTGTAGTATGACTACAGCATGATGAATATGCCTCCAGATTCACACCAGCTTGTAACTCATATCAACTGCAACATGTGTCTTTGTGCATTAGAAAAAGCTTAAGTAGGGCCCTATGAAATCCGTTTTATTTTTTTACCAAATTCCGTTTTTTCCATTTAATTTTTCTGGATTCCATTTTTCATGTTTTAATGGTTAAATTAAATTTTACCAAAAAGTACAATTTTTAAAGCCATATGAAATACGTTTTCTCTCAATTTAGTTTTATTTTTACAAAATTCTGTGACTTCCATTAATTTTCTGGATTCCATTTGAATGGCTTCGTTATATTTTAATAATAAAAAAGCATATCTTTTTTGGAAATACTGTGTTGTGTATTTACATGATTCTAGTGAATATTCTTTAAATGTATATTAAATGCTAAGATTTCTTTAGCATTTTTTCTTCATATTTTTTCATTTGTAAAATTAAAAACAAAATACAAAATAAAGAAAATATATGAAGGAAATATAAATGAAAATGATAAATCTTAGAATTGAATGAAAAACAGGATTTTAATTAGTAGCTAAAAAATTATTTTTTTTTAAATCCTTATTGCTGATGCCTTTCTGAAAGGAAAATAGTTGAAAGCGCCAGTATATTTGTTTCTCCACAGGGTCAAATTTATCACACTTCCATGAGAAAAATCTCCCGTTCGCTGACAGACTTCTACTCTTGCTTAAGTCTAGTTAACCTTTGACCCATAATGTTTAAGTTTGTTAGCTTGCGCTTCAATCAGGAAGACAAACCATTTTTTTCTGGTTACGTCTTTGAAGACATACTCTGAAAAAGGATTGATATGGCAGTCGTCTCAAACTTCAGCAAAAGCACATTTTTTTGGTTTATTTTTTATTAATTTCCTCCACACTATTCATTTCATTATGTGTAGAATGTTTATAAATGAGGGAAAAGGTACTATTTTCTTTGCTATTTCTGTTGCTAAGTAAGGAAAAACATTTACAAAGTCTACTTAAGCAAATCACTCCATTATCTATTTGTTTAACTGACATCAATGTGTGGGTGGATCAAGTGTGTGTGTGTGTGGGAATGTGTACCTGCATCACGCAGCCATCATGAAAGCGCAGCCGAACGCACCTTTGGGCATCAGTACAAAGGAAATAGGGCAATAAATGTAAACTTTATCAGTTCAGTCCAGAGAGTTCAGCCGTTCAGACTCTCAATCTCACACACTCATTTAAACACACACGTCTGGATCAACGTTTACCCTACTATGTTGGGGAAAAAAAGCCTTTTCAGGTTTGACGCTATTTTTAAAATGGACGTCTGAAAGTTAGCTTTCTATAATTATTCTCTAATAGACATGCTGCATGAAAAGTGCAACACTTTGGTGCTTTAAAAGCCATTCATTTACCAAAAAAAGAAAAAGGAAATAACAAAAGAAAAAACAATCTAGATAATGCAACTAACCTAACAACAAAACCAGATTTAGAGCCTTGGTGCTCATACAGGCACCACGAGTTTGAATCCAGTTAGCAACATTTTGTCATTCTCTCATTTTCTACCAATCACTTTCTATCCTATCTTTCACTGTCCAAATGCAAATAAAGTTCCATAAAGTAAAAAAAAAACTGTTAGTTAATAAAAAACACTGTTTTGTCCACAAGCGAGGCTCTTGCATTTTAGAGATGCTTCTGTAAGACTGCACTCATTCTCTGACCCATCTAACGCTTTGCGTGTCTATTGAAGTTGAAAGTTTCTGTCCTAAAACAGTTTGATGTGACGAGTAAAAGCTGAACTTTAGCATGTACGCTATAGGGACTCAGCCGAGACCTGGATGTAAAGGGTGTTTTGGAACAGCTCAGCTCACATGTGACTCAAATCGCATTCCTGGATTATAGAGTCAGATGGGTCTTGTTTTCCTCCAATACAAATGTACTCATTTCTGTATTGAACAAATAATTTCAGCCCTCCGTGCTATATGCGAATTCAGGCAACTATGTCGAACTGTTTAATGAAACCACACTGAGGATCCAAGGATCTGAGAACAAAATAGACGACTTTAAAGATTTGCACACGGTATATCAAATCTGTGCCGTCACTTTCCTAAAAACGTAGTGAATTCAGATGTGACACACTTCTGAATCTTTCAAGTCGGTGTGTGTGAGTGTGTGTGTGTGTGTGTGTCCAGGGGCCTCGGAATGCTTTGCTTTTCCTGTCTGCCTGAGAAAAATCCATAAGGACACAGAGTCGGCATGCCACAAAGGGTTCATTCTCTCCATATCTCAGTCATTCTGGTGGCACTTTTAACTGCCTGCGGCTTTACTCCTCCAGCTATCAATCAAATGTGTCAGGCTGATAAACACCCAAAACTTCACTGGAGGAATTACTGAATTAGACCTGAGTGCAAACAGTTGCAAATCCTCCATCTTTTGCACATGAATTCTGCAGTGAATAAGTGATTATGTAAAACAAGTACATGACTGGTTTGACTCCTAAAAATTATTTATGCATATATGTATACTAAAAAAATATATGCATATTTGTATGTAATGTATTTATACTGAAATATTTTTATTTGAAAAAATAATAACTATATATGTAATTGTAAGTAAAAATATAAAACTTGACCTTATATATGTATGTATTTTTTATGTATGTTTTTTGAATTGTGCAATTAAAAAGGTCAAGTTGTTTTTTGTTTTAAGTTACAAATACCCCTACAAATTTACCCCTAAAGGAATTAATTAATATAATCATACTTTTCTACAATATTGTTGGTAAATAAAAATGTTTATGTAATGTTACATTTATGTTGCAGGATATTAATTCAAGACGTTATACTGAAATCTTATTAATTGGTAAAATACTAAATAAATACACTGTGTGTGTTTATGTATGTATGTGTGTATATATATATAATGACACATTTATATATCTAAGACTCCATAAAAAGCCAGATCAACAGGAAAATACTTTGTTTGGTAATTAAATAAGTAAGCAAATTATATTAAAATTAAAATTAACATTAAAAGAAAATTCATAAACGTAAAAAGTATTAATAAAATATAAATGTAAAAAAAAAAAAAAATTTGAATAATAAAACATGATTCAAAATATCATGTTTTTCCAAAGTATTCAAAGATTGATGATACACTGAAAAGCATACTGATTAATTTTCCTGCATAGTTTTGAAAGGTAAATGGGAACGTGCTGCAAATGGATGAGTCCAGTTATATATGACTAATGGAAACAAACTCACCCATTTCCTGGGTCTTCCTCTAGGTCTTTTCTCCCCTGTGGTCTCAGCTTTCTGCAAATGCCAACAACCATGAATTAGTGGCCAGTATTTCATCAAGTGCTTTAAACAAATTTTTCAGGCACACAATTTGTCACAAGCAGAGTCATTTTCATATACAGCCACAAAAGGAGAAGGTTAAACACTAGGGCTCCATTTCCTCTAATGCTTTTAATGCAGAAAGAGTTTGTAAGGTATATCCGGGCCTCCAACAATGAACTGTCTCCATTGCTCAAGTTCCTGGTCTGTGCAGCGTAATATTTCACTAGAGGAATTTTATGCCATTCAAGTGTAAATAAGAGCACCATTATCAGCAAAACCACCCAGATAAGGGCCATGAAAGACAGTTATGGGGTTTCTATAATAGTGGCTCCAACTTAAGTTCATTGAAGTAGTCTGTAAAAATAAAACACCTATGTCTTCAACATGTTTTTCTAAAACATAACTTCACCATCCTGTTGCTAAAGATCATTAATAATGTTTAGGAGGTAAGATTTCTGATTTGACGGTTGTCTAACTTCACCATATGAGCCAAAACAGCAGGGTATGATTTCCTAAGGACATTATGTGTCATTCAAGCAACAATTTTGTCCTCCTCTGAAAACGTAACTGAAATTATCTGACAGGTGGAAGCAGGAGAATCTTGCCCTGTGGGTTTGAATGGCGTGGTCGAAGACAATAACAAGACAACATGCGTCTTCATTATTTATAGGATATAAAGTTTTCTTCTGGCCATGGGCTTTTGTTATGCAGAGGCCTGCAGGAAACCTTACTCAAATCATCAAACATCTATGAATTCTGCGAATGACCCAAGAAGGGTAGGTGTCAGTGCTATCACGTTTGTCAGCAGAGTACATCCAACCAAGTGAAATACAAATCAGTGTGCGTCTCTAAACTATTAACAACACCACAAGCATGCTAAAGCATTACACTAATCTGAGAGTTATCATTATGGAGCCAAAATAAATCCTGAATCATGGGAAAATTTTACTGGTGTGGATCCATAAATGTGTAGCTGACAAGAAATATAATTTATTTAGAAACTAATAAAATTTATTTAATTTTCATAATCAGTTTGTACTGTAAAAGTACAGTATATTTATTTGGATTTGTGCAGTGTTGTTATTGTTAACTACACTTAAATCTATTAAAATTGTTTTTGTTAATTAAGATAAACTAAACTAAATTCTGAATATTAGATGAAAATTTAAACTGAAATAAATCTCTTTATTTTGAAGTACTAATATTTTATATTAATATTAATATAAAAACCATACAGAAATTATATATATATATATATATATATATATATATATAACTAATAAAAAAATGACAAAAAATGACAACAAAATGACTAAAAATTTTAAATAAAATGAAAATATAAAAATAAAAATAAAAGCTAATTCAAAATGTTTTTTTTAAGTGAACAGTACATAAATAATACTAAAACAGCACTGGTTTCGTGAACTGAATCAGTGATTCACTGAAAAGATCTGATTCAACAGGATGATTTTGTTCATAAATCAGACAACACTATACTTCTCTCAAGGATGTGCTACGCTCGGGAAGACATTAAGATTTTCAGTAAATAATGTCTTAAATTTTGATCTTTTCCTCACCCAAACCTAACGTATGGCTTCAGAAGATTTGAAATACAGCGAACGAGTCATATGGGACACTCTCTGGTAATTCTGAAGATTAACAGACCCACATTTACCTTCATTATTTTCTTCAAAAATTCACCTTTAAAAAAGATTTTAAAAAAATACATTATACCTATGGGGGTTCAACAGCTTGTCATGGGTCAGCATCTTTAAAAGGACAACTCTGTACTTTATTTACTCTTAAAATATTCACAGCAGTACCTTAAGGGGACATATTACTATTTTAAGGTACTAATACACACCATTTAGAGCAAGATAAGGCACAAAGTTGTCTCTTTAAAAGGAACTGCCCCAATGTACCCCTGAAGGTACAATTTTAGCACATTTTTCTCTGACAGTGAAGAAAAAGTCATACGGGATTGGAAAGACATGAGAGTAAATGATGACAGAACTTTCTTTTTTGGGTCCCTTTAAACCCCTATTCTTATGGTTGGAAGACTTCCTCAACAGCTTCTACAATGCATCCCTGTCTCTTGTGTTGTGTGTGATGTGTTCAGCCCTGTTTGGGTTGGTTTGTTTTCCTTGACTAAGTATGCAGGCATTGTCAAGGCTCACATTACCACTTCTCCAACAAGCACAGTTTGTTTTGAATACCCCAAGGACGCTTCACCGTTCTGCGTAGGCATGATGGAGAAATATAAACCTAAGCGTCATAGTTCATGCCGCAGCCGGTCACTTAGAAAGGACACCGAGGCAGCTACGGGTCGGTGGTCCGCCCTGTGCGTCCTCACAGGATTGAAAATGGGTAAAAATTTGATGTAAAGATTAGATTACGGTGCTTATAATTCCTGCACATTCTCAAAGACACAATCCCTTTAACCTCACCTCTCCTCATCTGTGTCTTTCTCAATGTCTCTGTCTGTCTTTCTCGGTCCAATCAGTGTCTCCCTACCCTCAGTCCTCTGTTGGGGATGCTGCATTTTTAATGAGGAGATTTAATGGTCTGCAAGCCGACACCTTGATCAATTAATCATGTCAGTGTTTGCGTGTCTCGTCCAGCCAAGTCTCGTGTCCGCGGCAGACACTGTCCTCTTCGACACCAGGACATCCTGGCATGCGTGTGAGGCCGGGGACAAGGCCATCTCTCATTAATGGAAAGGGAGGGGCGGTATCGCCTCTGCCAAACCCACTTTTGCAAATGGAGAGTTTAAAATTAGCCCCCTGGTGCCCCGTATCAAGTTCCAACAATGTCTAGTCAATGGAAAATATTCAGGCTAGTCATTAGGGCCAATGTATTGACCAAAATGATCATAGCAGGGCGGAAACTGTCTGGTTATATGTGTTGACAGCTAAAACCGTGTTAATCGCCACTGAGGTATATCATGGCTTGGTTAGCCTGATTTAGCCTGGATTGTTCATGTGATACCAGTTCTGTGGGTTCTTTAGTGCAATTAAGAGCCAACAGAAGACTCAGTAATGCGAATGGCAGAATCTGTAATGCGTGAAATAAATTGCATTATTTATTGACTGCTACATTTCATGAACCTGGAGGTTGATGTTTATTCATTGTATTGTCTCAAGGTACTATCTATAGTATCTATCATTCTGTCTATCTATCTATCTATCTTTCTATCTATCTATCTATCGTTCTATCATTATCATTCTATCTATTTTTCTGTCTTTCTGTCATTCTTTCATCTGTCATTCTATCAACCGTTCTAACCATCCATCTATCCATCCATCTGAAGATTTACCTTGTATAACAATGTTTTTTTTTTCATTCTGCAATACTTACCTTATAAAAGAGTTCTCATTTGGTACTTACAGTATGTTTGAGCAAGTGTGGGGAGAGAGCCTTTAAACTTTGGGTTGTGAAAATGGTAGGAGACAGATGACTGATTGCGGATGGGACAGCAAATCTTGTGAGAAGTGTCTCTAGTGAGGCACCTTGCCAATTTAGATTCTTTTCATCTTGATAGATTTATCAGTCCACTGTATATCATAACAATGCTAAACAAGATGAAACGGGATTACGCTAGCAGAAAAGTGCTCAAGCTTTTCAAAGCGGTCCCGTGACTGTTTACAGTGGTACATCACTGCGAAAAGAGAGTGGTCGGAGCTGTCAGTGAGTTATTAAAGCAAAATAATTCCGCAAATAGACATCTCAGCTTCCCTTGACGGCTCGGAGATGAGAATCACATAGTAATACTTCTAAAACCCAAATGCACTGACAGTTGGAGGGAACTTCCCGCAAACATATGCCAGAATAGACCACACACACAAGCGAGGCAGAAATGTTAATGACTTCATTACAAAATGCTCGCCAGAACAACTCCTCTTTAAAGGCATTCCCAATACATAAACAGAATTATGCGATTACAAACGCTGACAGTCACATTCAGCTAAACTGATGCACGGCAACTTAATCTTATGTGATGCTGCAATTTGCTTTTCTGTTTACATGGCTATTAGCAAGGAATGGGAACAGAGTTCGTTTGGCAATATGCAACAGTACATGCTCTATACTCCCTGCGCAAAGTATACACTTCATGCATACATGTGTGTGTGTGTGTGTGTGTGTGTGTGTGTGTGTGTATGCCTGCATGTTTGTGGTTCTCTCACGTACGCGTGGTAATTTGCCTAAGGCGAGACAGAGAGAGAGAGTATTTATGTGTGTAGAATTCACTGCTACTTTTAGGTGTGTAGTTGTAGGACTCCTCTCGCCACATTACTGGAGCTTAGTGTTAACTACTGCGCTGCAAAGAGGTTCGGGTCACTGCGGTCCGTTCACACAGGCTTTATGATTGAGACATCAAGAAGGCAGCCCCCAACATTCACACACACATACATACGTCCCGGATGTTGACACATTTCACATACTTCTAAATGTTTGTGACACGTTCTTGATAAAGGATTTATAAAAATGGTAAGAGCCCATTTTCTCAGTTAACACTTCTAAAGTTAATATTCCTTTTCTTGTGAAGTGGTACATGATCGATAGAACGATAAATAGAAGGATAGAACAATAAGAGGAAGGATAGAACAACTTGTCAGTTGGGTAGACATATAGAACGATACACAAAATGTACGATAGATAGAGTTAGATCTGAGTTTGTTTTTTACTGTTGAGGTGTGCAGAAAGTTGCCTGGTTCTCACCTTCTGCACTGCTTTGGAGGGGCCCTTGTTCTTGCTTCCTTTGGGGCGTCCCCTCGGTCGTTTGGGGACAGGCTCTCCTGTGGGTTCCTGAGGATGAGAGGAGGTGAACTTATGCCATGAGGACAGGAAACAATGCCATGGGCCATCAGCAAACTAAGTGGCATTTATTTGGAAGAATCCACAAGCACACTTTTCACACCAGTTTTTTTTTCAAATTATAAAACAATAAATACATTGCTCAAAATAACAGCAAATGTATCTGGACACTTTCTGTTTGTCAAACGTTCGTGGATCATGTTCATAGTTATTGCGATGAACTACACCTGTGGTTACTCTGCTGTGTGAACGAGAGGAAAACTGACTTCATACATCCTCTAAAAATCACATTGGGTCCAGCTGCTTTAAAGTAATTGCAAAAATAGCTTAGCCAAGTGCAGGTGCCATTTGATTTGCCATCTAATGTAAAGAAATGTATGCATTTAAAGTGTAGCTTGGGTGTCCAGAAGTGTCCAAATACATTTTGAGACCACTGCTGCATTCTCCCTCTTCTCAAAGAAGACAGGGTCCACCTTCAACCATACACACATTTACTGGTGGTCTCCCATTCACTTGGGGCTTTACAAGTTAAAACCAAGGTAACGAGCAAATGTTGTGTGTGTCTATGTGTGTGCACACATGAAACAACTCTATATATATATATTGAAATTGTATTGTGAAAATGTCTGCTTAATCATTTATATATATATATATATATATATATTTATATATATATATAATTTTTTTATTTTTTTTATTTAAAGAATTTTAAATTTAAAGAATTTCACATTTGAAATTAAAAAAATATATAAAATTCACATACATGCATCATCTTTGCCAGCCAAACAATTCAGTATATTTGGTGAATGACTTTATTTTTAACCCTTCTTGCCAGCTCATCCTGATGGCTAGTTGCAAACAGAGGTATTGCAGTGAGTCACTTGCGAATTACTTAAGATAGTGAATCACATCCTCTGACCACAAACACTCAAAACAAGAATTTTAAAGGATGTGGTCATGACTAAATAGATAGATGTTCAGTGATACTACATTTGAATTACATGCCTGTTATAGTAACCACTGCTCATCAACAGGTACATTTAAAATAGCCAATATACAACGTTTGTCTCTACCTCTATATACACACACAACACAATTAAGCCTACTATATCAATTACTATACATATTACTATATAATTACTATAAACAAAACATATATATATATATATATATATGTTTTGTAATTTAGACGAATCACAGTGAATCATTTAAGAAAATCTATAATGATTTGTTCATGATTCAGAAGCAAAAAAATTATTTTATTTGATCTGATAAAAGATTTTTAAAGCAAACTGGGTTTGATCTCATCACATCAACAGAGGACCCTGTAGCGCAGGCTATACATTTAGCTTATCTTATCCAAATCAACTCACAAAAGTGCTTTAGCATCACATATGAGAGACTGTTGTGATCAACAGATGGCAAGCGTGTAATTTGGAATACTATCTGCTAGGAAAGAAGTGCTTCCTGTACAAATACAAACAAGTGCTACTCGTAGGCCTACAATAAACCTAACACACATACAAGCTATACATTTAGTCTGCAGGAATTCCCCACAAGAGAAACAAACTTCAAATGCAATCACAATCAAAGCACACAAGCTTGTTACTTCTGTCTAAAAACACCTAGTGATCTATCTATTCTTGAATAGAACACAGTAGGAAAGAACAGACTTCACTGACACAACTTCATATTTCATGCAATGACAGCAGTGTCCGTCAGTGTGCCATACTTTAATTCATCAAAACGATTTTAAAGAAATATTTTAATTTATCTTCAATTATTATAAAGTAATTCAAATATCTGCACTTAAAAAAATATTTGTCATACTGCATGACATGCATGTTAAAATCAAGTAGTGAAGGGAAAACATTAATAACAACAGTACAAATTGGGAGGAAAAAATTATAAATTAAATTAAATAAAAAATCACAATGTTGAATATAAAAAATGTTTACGGCCAAGTTATATTTCTATCCAGATAAACACATACTTTCCATACATTCCATCCTGTATATATATATATATATATATATATATGAAACATACTAAACCAGACTAAATTGGTTTGCTGGTCTTAACTGGACTACTTGGTCTCCCAGCCTGGCTAAGCTGGTGTTAAGCAGGTTTAGCTGGTCGCCTAGTTGGTCAAACTGAAAACTGGCACTATTTCCTTTAAAACCTGCAACCAGACCCCTGTCTGAGAGACCAGCAAACCAGCTCAGTCTGGTTTAAGCTGTTTTTGCAGCAGGGGTGCATGTAAACATGAGCCATAAAGTGCGGGCGAAGAGTAATGTATGGTTACAGTAAGAATGTTTATTGAGCAGCCCTGCAGGTCTAAACGCGCCCGTTCCTCAATTTAGAATATTAAAGGTGTTCGTGGTGAAAGCGTCACACACTGACCTGTTGCGGCTTCCTGGGTCTACCCGGTCCCCTTTTCTTTGGCTCGGCAGGGGCAGGCTCGGGCTCGGTTTGCTCCTGCGATCCTGAAGCTTCGCCGGCGGCTTCCTCATCGCGCGCGCTCATCGTGTGTGTGAGTTCCAAACGGAGTCTTAAGCACCTTCTGTTCCTGTAGTCAGTGTCTTGCGCTCACCAATGCGCGCTTATCAAGAACAATGCGTTTAAAACCGGTGCGCACATGAAGGGGATGCAAAATGTAAACTAAAAGCGCGGTATTGTGAGAAGCACGTGCTGTCTCTTGGTTGAGAATTTGGCTCACACACACTGAGGGAAAAAAATCTCCTGTGTAGAATTAAGTGGGGGTGGCCTTAGTAATAAAATAAGCCCGGTGATCGATTGCAATTTGAACGAGACATTCGCAGAGGGAAGTGTGACAGTGCACTGTCAAATCCACGCTACTGCGGATTCAAGAATTTGCGGGGAACGGCTTTCTACGCGGATTGGTTTAAGTAAAAAAATGGGGGCATTTTAAATGCATCCCTGCTGCCCACACGGAAATAAGTCCACAGACTGTGGATGAGGATGAGGTATATACATAAAAAAGAGAGAGAGAGAGAGAGAGGCGAAAATCACTTTTCCCGTGGGTGGATAACACGGGGAGGGTGGGGGCACGAGAGGCGCAAAAAGAGAGAGAGAGAGAGAAAAGAATTGGACAACAGCCAGAGAAAACATGAGAAATACTAAAGAGGAGAGACCACATTGAGACAAACTCACGTGTCCAGCACCATTCATGTTACTGGCTACACTACAGAAAAGTTTAAAGACACAGCACAGTTCATAGACTGTTTATTTGTTTGTTTATTTCAAGAAATGTTACGATACGTAAACTTCGCTTTGGCATGTGCTACGATTCTTTTTCCTCCTAACGACTTTGTGACCGCCAACGATTCTTTTAGTGTACTTTTCCAGGAATAAATATTTGAGAGAAAAGTTTCCTGTTGCATTTACTGCCCTCAGCATTGCCACATGATGAGATCATTTCAGATTTCAACTATTTAGTTCGACATTTTAGAGGCTACATGATTGCAATACAATTGGCGTAACAGTATATTAAGAAAAAATATATATTAAAACTAAAATAGTCTCTATCTACGTTTGAACAACTGGTCGTCACTGGTGCCTTAGAACACAAAGTAGCAAAGTAGCTAGTTCTTGATTCATGATTTGCATGATTTTTTCCTAGTGCTGTCAAACGATTAATCGCGATTAATCGCGTCCCAAATAAACGTTTTTGTTTACATAATATATGTGTGTGTACTGTGTATATTTATTATGTATATATAAATACACACACATACATGCATATATATTTAAGAAAATATGTTATATTTGTATGTTTAATACATTTATATACAATATAAATTATATAAATATAAATATATATGTAAATACATGTAAATATTTTAAAAATATATACTGTATGTATGTGTATTTATATATACATAATAAATATACACAGTACACAAATATATTACATAAACAAAAACTTTTATTTTGGATGCGATTAATCGAGATTAATCGTTTGACAGCACTAGAAAAAAATGCTACTTGTTGCTAATAAAACATAAAAAACATGATTTGCTGTTAAATAATTTAGTAACCCTGCTGATTCCAATGTGTTTTTTTTTTTTTATTAGAAAATGTATTTATTAGAAAAAACTAAGAGCCATTAGTTCCGAATCAGATAACACTGGTTGCGCAGCATGTTTTTCAATGAATGAATGAATGAATAAATAAAGCAAGCATTCATTCTTTGTGAATTGGACTACACTGGTGCTGCTGGATGATTTTGATTCACAAAAAAGAACCGCTTTATAGGAGTTGTTAGTTCAGGATTCAGACTACTTGAATTTTGTGTAGGCTACGTGTATGTTTCATGCTATAATTATTGTTAATTGTTAATTTAATTACAGCATAAATTAAATGAATAATTTGGCATTTCCACCAAATACACACAGTTCACGTCACGCCTCGTACTATGCAGTTATACACACTCATCAAAAGTGTGCGTTGTAAGCGAAATGGAAGCAGTTGTTTTTTGTCCCTCAAGGCCGCGAGCACAAGCAGATCGACCTCCAACAGTCGCGTGTCTTTGAAGTCTTCCGCCCATCGACGTAGAGTGAGATCAATTACACAAGAACAACAGTGACAAAGAATAAACTGCTTTACGTGGAGGGCCTTTCCCACGATCTGACCAAGCCTGCTCGACAAACGGGGGAGGAATGGCAAAGTCCTCCCAACCCTCTCCAAATGAATACAATTGTGTCAGAGATGGGCTTTATAACCGAGAGCTGGAGGATCTTGAACTCCAAGAGCTGCACAAAGGACAACAACGATGGGAGAAGGACAGAAAGAAAATTAAAAAGTGCATCACCAAATATATAAAATACATGTTTTATGGGTCACTGACTGATGCTAATTTTTTGTCAGGATCTATAAAGGTTACTTTATGATAACATTTTTAACATAACATAACATCAAGTAAAGTTATTTTGGTATTTTAAGTTTAGGAGGTGTAAGTCTACACACTAAAAAAAACAAACAAAGGGC